AACTGACATCTTTATATCTTAGCTTCCTATCCATGATCATGGGCTGTCTTTCCATTTATTTTGGCCTTCTTTAATCTTCTTGAATTTTATAATTTTATACATATAGGTCTTTCACATCTTTAGTTAGATTTAATTCCAAGCACCTTAAAGATTTTATTGGTGTAAAATTCTTTTCAAATTGTTTATTGCTGGTATATGGAAAGGCAATCAACTTCTGGTATTAATGTCACATATTTAAACTCTATTAACTAGCTAAACTCTATTAGCACATCTAATAATTTGCCTGTGCATTCTATTGGGCTTCTATGCAGAAAATTTTATCAAATGTGAATAATTACAGACATTTTTTTGCCTTCCAATCCTTATGCTTTAATTGCTTTCTACTGCCCCATTGACCTTGTCAGGATCTCCAGTGTTGAAGAGATGGGCAATAATGGGCATTCTTGCCTCCTTCCTGCTTTTTAAAGGAACTGCTATTAATATTTTAATCTTTTCCTATTATGAATGATGTTTGCTGTAGGTTGTCTTGAAGACAGTCTTCATCAGTTTAAGGAAGTCTCTTTATTCCCCTGTATCTTTTGCGAACTATACTAATTTGAGGATGCCACAGTTTTCCTACTGGACATTTGATTATGGGTCAGGAACAGGGTTCTCAAATGAAGCAGCAGCATTGCAATAGATTTCTTCCAGGGGTATATCCCATTAACTTAGATTTCTACCTAAGAAGTCTATTTCTAATTAGGTAATTGCCATTACCCTCTACTCACTAGTAACTGAAAATTGTTCAAGGCCATTAATAAACTGATCACAAATAGTCATCATATTATTAATGAGAATGTTTTCATCTGTGTTCACATCATCACTGTTATCATGATTACCAGTCAGCTCTTATCTGTACTTCACACCACTTCAGCAATTTCCCCATCAAGCAAAGAATGAGTGATAGAGGGATCACAGAGTACAACGTTTTTCTGATATCAGCTCCTCTAATTTATTTAAGCTTAGTTGATAAACATTTTGTGCAAGAATGAAGTTTTATATCATCATCTTATCATTAGTTACAAAGAAATCTTCAAAGCCCGTATGGACGGGTTCATTTTTCAAACATCATTGTAGACAGAGTCTGTGCCAACCCCTTGAGAAGGTTAATTTATCAGCATCATTCCAGACATTGGCAACTGTGTAAATGACATTCTCAAGGCTGAACTCTTTCAGGGAGTCATGGAATCCTACACCCTGTGATTGTAGCAAGCATACAGTCTGAAATAAGTGTTTATCTTTGCTCTACAATTTTTGGTACATAGGCTGTAATACACATATCCCACTGGGGAGGAAAAAAAGCTGAAATTCTGCTTTCAACAGGAAGTTCAGGAAGGGGGTGTGCATAGCAATTTTCTAGGAATGATGATAACATCTTACAACTGGTTCTTTTACCATCCAGAATGCCTGCAATGAGTTTGCACAAGTGATACAGTAGCTATTAATTGGTCAGAAAGCATTTCTCTGGTTACACATGCTGTCTTGTTTGCATAACAAGGGACAGTAATTGCAAACACCCTTCAAAGGTGGTGAATGTTGGCTTGTCCCAGGTAGTTTCAAATGTATCCTGTGTGTACCCGCAGCACTTGGCACACCAAGAGCAGTCAACAGGGTGGAACCAATTGCTGGGTCCTCATCAGCCATTCTGCAAAGCAGGATTATTTCTACTGTTGACTGTTCATGTCAAAGCTTTCATCAGGTAATATCATAGCAAACCCAGTGATGCAATTTTCAGCAGCCTCATTATCAGCAAGATCTTTTCTACCTCCAATGTTGACATTGTCTTACTTCAGTTATACATAAAGTCAAAAATTATTCCCCAAAAGCAACAACAACAAAAAGCACCACAGTGGCAAGTGTAACTGGTAAGAACAACTCTTCAATTCAGGGTCAAGAATTGCCTCTAAATGAGTTTTGGTGCCAAATCTACACAAAAATAGACTGTGAGTTTCATAGGCTCCCTCACATCACCAAGTTGTCTTTTGCTTAGCAGTTGGCAGAAATATCTTTTTCTATGCCTTTATTTTCAATGTTTTTATGTTTTTAGAGTTTATGTGTCTCTCATGTGTATGACACTTACATGGACTTGGTTTTTTAAATCTAATATGACAATCTTTTAATTGGTGCATTGAGTCCACATATGTTTACAGTATCAAAATTATTGATATATTTGGACTTATTTTTACCAACTAGCCTTTTGAATCCTACTTCTTTTTCTTTCCCTTTTCCTCTTTTTAATTGATTTCTTTTTTTCTTATCAATTTTGATTTAAATATTAGGAAATGCATATGTTCTGTTTCTATCCGTTTAATGACTTTTATTGAAATTTTACCATGGACATTTAATTTGGCAAAGTCTACTAGATAACAATTTTTATTCTGCTTATGAATAGCATAACACCATAGAATACTTTAATTCTGCCTCTTCCAATGCCCATACTATTATTATTATTTCCCAGTATTTTAGTTCTATTCTTTTTTAACCTGACAAATTAGACACAATTATTACTCTATATTGAGAATGTTTGTTTGAATTTATATGCATGTGTATCAGTCAGGGTCCCATCAGAGAAGCAAAATCACTAGGAAAGATGTAATAAGAGATTTGTTTTCAGAGTTCAGTCTTCCTCAATCATGGGAGCCGGTTGAACATTTACATGATACTGTTGCATTTGTGGCCCATCTGCCAGGTAGACAGTCAAAAATAGAAGATGCACATGAAGTGAGAGAAGCAAAGACAAACTAGAACCTGCAGGTATGAGCTGGAACCACAACATAAAGACAGATTGTAACCAGGTCAGTCTCTCACTATCTCCAAAACTCCTGTAAGGGTAACCTGCAGAAGAAGCTGGTGCCCTTTGTCATGAAACTAAAGACACACCTGGCCCAGGAGGAGGAGGATCCACAGGAGCTGGGAACTGGCATCAAGGGTTTTACTGAGAAGTCTGCTCATCAATATAAGTGTTATTCTTTTGTGGTGATGTCAACTTCATCTGAGTGCTCTGAAGATCTTCTCTTTGACTTTTGTGTTCTGAAGTTTCAGAATGTGAACCAGCAGACAAGTAACAATGTGCAGGAGCTGAAACAGCATCTCTTACCTGAACTAAAAAGAAGTTGGCTGCTGCTTAACATTTGCCTTCTAAATCTGTTACAAAATGTCTCTGATCACCCATGCTAATCTGGATCCATACAGGAAAGGAAATTCTTGGAAATCTAATTCCAGGCAGACTCAGTCAACACAATACAAATCTACCACAATGCTTACCATTGTCTTGGCTTATCATTTGTTTTTGCATCTCAGACTATTCTTCAAGGACCACCCATATTCCTTATTGAAGAATGTGTTTTAAAGATACCTTTAGTTCAGGTATCTCGGTGGCAGATTCTCACTTTTTATCTGTACACACCTTCGTTTCATGCTCACTAATGAAAGATGATTTTACTGAGTATGTAATTAAAAAATATGTATATATCTTTATTGATTTCAGAGAGAGGAAAGGAGAGGGGGAGAGAGACAGAAACATCAATGATGAGAGAGTCACTGATCGAGCCCACAACCCAGGCGTGTGCCCTGACCAGGAATCAAACCCCGATCGCCTGGATCCTAGGTGGACGCTCAACCACTGAGCCACGCCCAGCCAGGCTATAATTCTTCATTGAAAGTTATTTTGGCTCAAAAATTTGAAGCTATAATTATATTGACTTCCATGGATGCTGTTGAGAAAGCTGCTTACCATTCTAGTTGTTATTTTGTAGTGATCTCAACTTTTTCTGTTTTTTAAGATCTTCTGACTTTGGTGTTTTGTAGTTTCAAAATGTTGTAGCCAGTTGTGCACCGCTTTTTACTGGTCCTGCCTACCCAGGCATCCCTCTTGTATCCATAGATCCAAGTTTTTTATTCCTGTTGAAATACTGTATCTGCCATCTATTTAAATATTGCCTCTTCTTCGTTCTCTATATTTTCTCTTTCTGAGATTCTGATTTTAAAAGCAATCTCATTCTGTTGTTTATCTCTCTTCATTTTCATACTCTCCAACTACTTGTCTCTCTGTGTTATATTTTAGGTAATTTCTTTGGTTTTATCTTCTAACTCACCAGTTTTTTTCTTCACCTGTGTGTAAGATACCATTTAACTCATCTGCTGAGTTTTCTGTTTCAACAGGTTTACACACATGCACATATACCTATACATATATATGTGTGTAAGTATATATACATATACATATACATATACATATACATATACATATACATATACATATACATATACATGTACATGTATAATATTCTATCTTTTATAAATTTGTCTGTTCATTCTCTTTAGCTTGTTCATTGTTATGAATTTATTCTTTATTTTTTTAAACGCTTTAGTCACGTAGTTCCTAGTCCCTGAGATTCTAAAGCTATTGTTTGTTGTCACCACCTATTATCACTGACAGAGACTTGTTGATCTTTGACAATGAACCTTTTGCTTTATCTTAATCTAAGTGACTCCTGCCATCCTGCACTGGGGACACTTTACTTCAGGGGAGACTCTTTCTGCTTCTGTTTGGACCCAGGGATGCCACTCTCTCGGGATCACCTCACCCTCAAGGCCTTGACTTTGCACAAGAGCTCCTGGTCCAGCCTGTCCACTTCATGGCCTCCCCAGGGCTCAGTATTCTAACAGCAGCATTGCCTCTTCATTCCAGAACAATCTTAAAATGGGGCCAAATGGATTCTGGCCCCAGCTCTGATCGTGGGTAAGAAGGGTAGAGTGGGAGGTTATTGGAGAAGCCCACTACTTCTTGTAAGGCTCATAATTCTTTGAAGAGTGTGTCCTGTCTGGGGTCTAGTTGTTTTGCAGCAGCTGGAGCCATCTATGAATCTGGCCAGGTAACATGTTAGACACCAAAACAACTGAATTTGTGTGAACAGACGTGGCAAGGTCTGTTTAATTTTTCTCAAATGGAAGTTTTTCCAGTGTCCCCTCACTGCCCCAGGGACACCATCAGCTCAGGGGACTGTGTTGTAGACCTTGTAGTCGTCCTTCTGGGTGATGTGTAGCTTCCAGGGGAAGAGGCGCTTCTGGGAAGGCAGAGGCTCGGCCTGCCTCACCATGAGCCTCACATCTTCATCCGAGATCAGCCGAACCAGGTCCCCATCAGCATCTCTGTAATTTAGGGCGATGTCCTCCTTCTGGAACTCCCGCCTGGGTGGGAAAGATCAGGGTGAGTGTAAGGTCCAGCAGCCTTAGGCCTAAGCATGGGGGCAGAGAGCAGGGCCAAGGCAGTTTTAGGGCCTGGACCTAAAAATCAGAAGTCAGAGCTTGACACAGGCCTTATCACTTGTGCAGATGGAGAACCTGAGACCCACAGGGGAAGGGACTTTCACATTAAATTAGTGGCACAGCCTGAAATGTCTTGTGTATAAATGTGTTGAAGACCTAAGAACTGTCGTGGGGAAGAGGAGCGGTTTGCCAGGTGCAGAGTAGAGCAGAATACAGCCCCGAGAGACACCTGTGTGAAGCTCTGGAGGGGACTGGGCCTGTCTGATGAGGGTACCGGCAGGTGGGCACTCTTACTGGCTGGTCCAAGTAAAAAGTGATCTGACCTTTCTATGGGTAATTTGACAAAATGGATCAAAAGCCTAACTGACTTGCAAATACCCTGATCCCAAAATTCTACTTCTAGAAAATCATTTGGGCAAGTCGCCAAATATGTGATCACAACATTATTTGTGGTAGTAAAAAAGTGAAGGAGAACTTAAAAGGCCAAGGCAAGGGGATACCACATTCACTGAGGTGCATCCAGAGAATGCTACTGGGTAGCCAATTAAAGGACGATTTATGCCGGGGTGGGGTGTGCGCCGAGGAAATCTGAGTGTGCGTCAGATAATGAGAGGAGTGGAAACATGAGGTGATTTCACTTGTTTATACCTCTCTGTGATTTCTGATATTTTAAAAATAATGAATAGGTATTACTGTTATAGTCAGGAAGGTAACGATGCTATTTCCATTCTGTAAAGTAACTGTCCCTAACTAATCTGGATCTTGGAAGGTGGTAGTTCCCTGGTGATGAAGTATCCAAATTCAAGGCTTTTACCTAAAGAGACTTTAGCTCTAGCTGCCAATCCACACTCACAAACTGTGTGACGTCATCCAAGGCCCTTGACCTTTCTGCAGCCCCCCACTCATCTCTAACAAGGGAGCTGATACCCACCCAGCAGGGCTGGCTGCAGACAAAACAAAGGCAAAGGAGATGCAGAGAGCACCTAACACATTGTATTTCCCCTTCTGATCTCTCCTCCGGGGTTTGTGCCCCACCCCTCCACCCAGCCTCTCACCTCATGAGCTCCAGCAGGTCCCTTAACAGTGGAGTGCTACTGAGGTCTTCCTCCACTGCGATGTCCCTAAGAGGAGAACGGCGTCAGTGAGAGGCCTTAGGCCCGACGGGGACAGGAGAGTGAGGCTGGCAGACCGCGATGGATCTTGACATCTTGTTATGGCTTTATGGCTTATCTGGAGGACAGTGGGGCACTGCAGGCTTTAAGAGTATGGGGGCTGGGGTTGGGGGGACAACATAGGATCTGATTTGGGCCTCATGGTCTAGAATATGATACGGATGTGGGAGTGGGGATGGGCAAGGAGGGTAGACAGGGCCCTCCCACAGGCCACAAACTTGATGGTGCTGATGGTGTCCTCATAGTAATAGCAGCGTAGCCAGTTGGTGGGGTCATCTTCCTCCGGGAAGTCCTTTAGGATCTTCACGAAGGACAGTGGGAAGATGCCTGTGGCTCCCCGGACAGTGCCCTGAAGAGGAAATAAAGAACTGCCTTGTCAGTGCCAAGAAAGGCAGGGCCACATCTTGGGGTTTCCCAGTTCCTTTAACATGACCAAGAAAGGCAGGCAAAGTTTGGGTTCCCTTATGTAAGAGGAGGAGAAGTGACCAAGGTCACCAAGCCGCACCCAAGAAGAGTTTCATTTTAGAATAGGTCAAGATCTGAATTTATCTGAGAGTCTGCTCCCCTCTTTCATTCCCTCCCTCCCTTCCTCCTTCCCTCCCCCATTCATTCCACAGATACCACCAAACACCTGCTTTAGACTAAACAGCCGGGAATCTCCCCCTCCAGCCCACGTCTCTCGCCTAAGCTTCGGGGCCGGACCCGGCCACGGCCTGTGCTTTACACATGTTCTCTTAACCTTCACACCCTATGCAAGACATACTGTTTATGTCCCGTTTTACAGACCTATAAACTGAAGCTCAAAGTGATCTCCTCACTTCTCCCCGATTCTACCCTCAATCTGAAGTGAGCCACAAAGAACTCTCCAGAAAATAGGAAGATGACACGCATTTCCTGTTTCTGGAATATGGCCCAGCCATATCCCCGAGGCAGCTGTCAGAGCTGATGAGCATCTAACCCAGAGTTCCAGGACTGGGAGAAAATCAAGACAGCCAGCTCGGCAAGGCTGATGGTTCCTGCTGCCCTCCAGCCCTGCATGCCCGGGGCCCTCCCCTGCCCTCAGTGCTCCCCTTGGGACCCATCCCACAACCTCCTGAGATGCCACCACCCAGGAGCCCTGAGAGAAAGAAATCTTATTTAAGAACAACTGGACCTAATACAAAAGGCTGGTACTGGGCCTGTGTCTTGCACCCAGTGACCTCCCATCTTCATTCACCGAGTCATCATGGGCCCTTGTATGGGGCACATTCTCTGCGAGCCAGGACAAAGCTATGACCAAGACAGGCCCTGGTTCCAGCGTCTCATTTAAGTCTCTCGGCACCAGCTAGAGGCCACACACCCAAGCCCTGAACAGCTACATCTCGTTTAACATTTCCAGGAACCCTGTGAAGAAACTGTCAGCATTGCTTCAATTACAGAAAAGGAAACCACGGGGTTGAGCAAGTTTCCCAAGGTCACGAAGCTGCTTAAAAACAGAGCAAGGACGTGACAGCAGACAGGCCGACTCCAGAGCTCGAGCCCTCCCTTCCTCGCCGCCTTTCCTCCCGCGGGCCTGTCAGCAACGCCATCCCGGGTCAAGACCAGGGCTTCTCAGCGGGGCGCCTTTGCCTCCCAGGGCCCTGTGTCTGGAGACCTATTTGATTGTTGCAACTGGAGGGGTGTGACTCGCATCTAGTGGGTGGAACCCAAGGATGTTGCTAAAGATCCTACAGCGCACAGGGCAGCCCTGTAACAAAGAACTCTCTGGCCTCAGTGTCCACAGTGCTGCCTCTGAGAAACCCAGTGACAGACCGAGAAATTAAGCTCAGTGGATCAACTGACTGGCCCAAAGCAACAGTTTCTTGGGGTCAGAGAGAACTAAAGGTGAGTGTAGGCTCCACAATCACCTGTCCCCCAGTGGCTATATTCCCTCAGGTTCTCCCACCCACCTGCCCAGACCCCCAGACCTATCCTCAGACTGCACCTCTTCCCTGGGGTCTTCCTTGACCCCTCCTCATTCTCTGATCCCCTCACCAGACCCAAAGTGATCTCACCTCCACACTCACCTCCACCCTCACCTCCAACCCCACCTCCATCCTCACCTCCATTGTCACTTCCATCGTCACTTCTAACTTCACCTCCACCCTCACCTCCAACCTCACCTCCAACCCCACCTCCATCTTCACCTCCACCCTCACCTCCAACCTCATCTCCACTCTCACCTCCATCCTCACCTCCACCTTCACATCCAAACTCACCTCCAGCCAGTCTTTGTTGATCCGACTGAGAAGGAAGATCACATCTCCGGCTTTGAAATTCAGCTCCAGCTTGCTGTTCCCAGTGAAGTCAAACAGGGCCTGGGGGGAAGAGTGGAGTAAGGTGGGAGGAGGGAAACATTCACTGAGTCCCTACTAAAGTGCTTACTTTGGTGCCCCATTTAACAGGTGAGGAGACTAAGGCTCAGGGAGAATGAGTCACTTGTTTGAGGCCACTCCACTAGTTATCAGAGGAGCAGGCCTAGAACCCAGGTCTCCCTGACTCCGCAGTGGGTGCTCCTTCCACTGGTGCTTCTTCCATGGGAGGGAAGGAGCCAATCTCCCTGGATCCAGGGCCTTCCCTGCCCCCAGGCCTGTGTGGGCTCCAGCACCCCCATACGCCCCAGGCACTGACCACACTGGCTCTGAGATGCAGGTTTTAATGTGTGTCCTCAGGGACTCGTGAGCCCCTTGAGGACAAGGCCTTGCCTGAGTCATCTCTGAGTCAACAGGACTGGCCCAGAGGGGCCCGGGGAAAGCTTGCTGAATGAGTGATAGAGGGATACATTCTCTTCTGCCTCTGTGTGCTCCTCATGTGGCCTCTTCACAGCTTAGCTGAGGTCTTCGATGTCCAAGAATGAGGCTGTGGCCCTTCCCCCTGGCAGCCCCAGCCCCACTAGACACAAGCCAATGCCCTGCAAGAGGGGCTTTGTGGCTGAGGGTCAGCTGCCCAGAGGTGAGGCGGGAGGGGCAGGCCCCAGGGTACCTCTGCTCTCGGAGCTGCCAAGCGATCTAAGCCAGCACCTTGTGGGGACTCACTCTTGCTGTGGAGAGAGAAGAGGGGCTGTCAGGCCTTCTGGTTCTCCCAGGGCCCAGCTCCCCGCTTCTGTGCCAGACGTGGGAACCGCGGGAGAGAGATGATGTTAAAAATGCAGGTACAATTGCTCCTGTGGCTCAGCACCCCCCTCCCCCGCCTTGTTCTCTGCCTCTAGAGGAGAGATTGTACCCCCTTTTTGGACCAGGAAGCAGGGGCTGAGAAAGGAGGGGATGGGACGCTGCCACTTAGTGCCTAACTTGCCAGACCTCCCACATTTGTTCTTTCTTTTACTCCCGCACCCAACCCCTGAAGTCACGGTATTATCCTGTTTCAACTGGACACAGGCTGAAGAGGGGACACGTCCTGCTCCAGGGCCCAGGGCTGGAATCCGGCCTGTGCCCCGCTGGGTGCACCAGGGAGGGGGCCTCAGGCTGAGCCGCTCAGAGACA